TTATCTGGAAATAGATTGGATAATTTGATAAATAAAATAAATAAATCGTCAATTGCTGATTACTGTTTAAAAGCAGTCGCGACTCGAATCCGGGAAATTCTGTCTCCAAGATGAATGTATAATTAGCACCCGAATGGAAAGAAAAATGAAACGTCCGCGAGGGAACACATCGTAATTGATAAACCGAGGCAAATTTCCATTATCTATGCAATTATTATATTACATCAATCGATCGGGACGACGCAGCGTGCACAAGGAGACCTGATGAGGCATTCAGGATGGCTGATTCAACGTTCATTATCGTTCGATTCATCGCTATCTTATCGCGTGAAATTCCATCATTAATATCTTCCAATTATCTCTCCCGCCATTTCTAAACTCTCCCCCTCTTCGACCCTTCCATGCCTCAGCAAATCCCTCGACTAGCCTAAAATCCAATTCGAACTGTGACACGAGAAAACACCTGTGGACCATTCGACGTCGGAAATCATCATCGTCGGGGATGATTTCTCTGTCGAAGAAAGAAGCAACTTTTTCCCAGCAAAGTTCACCGACGCGTTCGTTCCCTCCGTTTCCGCTCCGCGGGAGAACAAAGAGCGTGCTCGAAGCTTTCGGAACGCCTGGATTGGACCAACGTGTTAACCTCGCGAGTGGTTTCCTCTCGCGAAGGGAAAACTTTTCTCTCCACCCTCTGCTCGCTGGAATCTCGCGCTTTTTTCCTCCCCTCTTTCGTCCATTTTACCAGCCGCGCTCTTGCACGGCAATCGAACTCCGGCGAACGGAGAGAGAGAGATTAGCTAACAGGTGTCCCAGGTAGAGTCGGTCGGGTCGATTACACGCTCAGCCGTGGAACGTCGGGATCCCAGTGATAAATCTTCCCTGTTGTCCGCACAAAGGGGCTCCGGGGTAGCAGCGGTTCGACTCTCGCCGGCTTTGAACGAGAAACCAAGACCAAAAAGGAGCATCGACGTCCTTAGCTTTATCGACTTTTCCATCCTCCCTTTTTCTTCGTTCCAGACCAGCTCGCGGTAGAATTTTATTCGAAAAAGCCCGGGGGGAGGGGGGTCGCGCGAAATTTGTTGTGGCTACGTTGCTTCGATAAATTATCCCAGTCGAAATTTTACGGTTAATTGCGACGTGCAACTGCGCCTGGAAAACTCGGAAAAGCCGATTTTTATTCCGATGGAAATGTAATTGCAAGTTAACGTAATTTGTTCAATTTTGTTTCTTTATATCGATTACTATCTCGATAATTATTATTTTCATCGGTGTTATCTAGGACACCCTGTATTGATATCTTTGTGTGTAGTTCATTCAGACATTGCTAGTGTTATATGTCACAAGGTCCTTCTTTAATTAGATAATCCATAAATATTTCCACCCCCAACGGGATATCTATGATACTATCGATATAATTAGCGAAATAATTTTATTCAAATCGAGTACCTTTAAGTAAAGTATATTTAAGATAAAACCTAACCTAAAATAACAGGAAATTATCGGAGAGAAGATCGGAAAGGGTGTCCAGAGTTAAATTAGTAACGGATAATTTCAATTCAACGAACACGAGTATTTTTCGTGGAATTGGATACTTTTGAATTTCGAATTTCGAATTTCGATTTACGAGGATCGGTGTTCGTGGAACGGTATAACGAAGCGACGACAAACACGGAGCCCTCTGTAGTCGCGGTTGGAAATTAATCTCCTTGAACGTTTGAGCTCAATCATGGCGTGTCTCTATGGTCACGAGTCGCAGTTAGGGTAGGTCGGGCTTCGATTATATTTAGAATAGTCACGTCGAGTCTGACAGTCTATAGTAATATATCCAATTCGAACCGTTTAGCGGATTTACACGATGACCATGATCTAGACGCGGAGACAAGTCGTCCAATAAAATTGCACGGATCGCTTCAACGTAGCCTTCGAGTGAAAACAATTAACCTCTCGACGACTCTTGTCCTATTTTAATAAAACTAAATCTGTCGCCGATCGTCGGGCGATAGCTGTGAAACTCGCCGCGCGAACTTTACAACGTTACGATTTTTAGGTTAGGTCGACGCGTGTCGATTTATATACTCCCGCGGCTGGGGCAACGTCACCGGCGCCCAGAGACTGGGTCTCAGCTCCAAAAGACCAGGAAGAACGCGGTGAAATGAAAACCGAAGGAAACGAAAGCGAGAGTTGAGGTTAGGTTCACCGAGGAATACAAGTGGCGCTAGAATTATTCCCGTTAGACGGCAGCAGTCCGTCACGCTGGCCACGCTAACTGTTTATTCAAGGCCCGTAGTTAGGGCAGGTTAGGCTTGGACTGCGCCCAGTTTGCATCAATTTAGATTCAACCTTCCGTCGTGAGCTGTTAGAGCCACTTCATCGTGAGCGATTTTCGTTCGAGGAAAAACAGCAATTTCCATTTAGCCTGATCGCCGATGGTATCATCTTCAACGTCACGAAACTTTTCAACGAGGTAAAAAGAGGCATACCGTGCCGGACGATGACACACTTCGGTGCGAGAAACAAAGGAGTAAGAGGAGCGAGGTCGGGTTCGAAACGAATTACAAAAGGATACCAATCGCGGGGAATTAGCGGGTAATAATTGCGGAGGAAATAGAGGAAACCCGTGAGCAATGGTAATCTAACCTAATATTTTTATTCGTGCCACGAAATCGGAGACTTCGACGTTCGTACGTTTATCGCGTATCGATGACCACGCGAGCGGACCTGGTCGATAACGGACTGTTTTACCGATAACCTCCGCGAATTTTTGTCCGCTCGAGCACTCGAAGTTGCACCGGAAAAATTCGATCGATTAATTGCATCGACGAGACACGTACGCGGGCTAACCTCTCTCAGCGAGCGAGCAGAAGCGACATCTGGCGGCGCGAGTCCGCGTTCCATCGGCCCCCTAGAAGGCGCTGAAAATTCAGCGGGACGCTCGGTGGAGTTAGATAATGGAAGCAGAAGCAACGGTGTAATGGCTAACGGGCTACAATTGAGGCAGGTTAGTCCCGACTTAGGTGGGAGCCGGATTAGGGAGACTCGGTTGGGTTCGTGTCCCGCTCACCTGTGATCTAACTTCTACTTTCCGTAGACATAAGCCACGTGTTCAGCGGAGGTGTGAAGGCACACGCACACGGGCATACGTGGCGCGTACGTGTGTGTACGTGTCTGTCAGAGGGGTTAAACGGCTTTCACTCTTCGAGTGTTAGTGAGTCAACACTGCCTGGCAGGGGAACGCACTATATTCTCCGATTGTGTATCACACCGGTCAGGGGCGTACGCTCGGGGGCCCGTGTTAGGGTACCATTGGCGATGAAGTTTCGGGATGCGATTTTTGATGGACGGCGAAGACTCGAAGCGAATTTTATCCGACGAAAGTCTGTGGCAATACTTGACGTTGGAGCGTGGAATTTCGAGTTAGTCTGTGGTATATTTGGCGCGAGGTTGAAACGCGTAAAATAGGACCACCGATTTCATGGTGGTCCTTGACTACAAATTTACTTTTGTTCTCCGTGGGTTATAGCTTGTGCGGTTTTACGACGCCGTTCTTCGTCCGCGTGCACGCGTGCACGCATAATAAAGGCTAGGCCAAGCCTCTTCGTACTACCGATAAAAATCCTTGATCCTAATGACGGGTCAACCGTGCCAATTGGCCATAGGAACGAGTCGGTTGTGCCTCGAGGATATACCATCGTGGCTTAATCTCAGACCCGATAAGCTTCGTTATCGTTTCGGATCGAAAATTCCTTTTTTCTCGTTTTCTTTTTTTTTTTTCTTTCTTTCTTTTTTCCCCTCCTTCCGATAGGAAATGAAATTCATACTCGACCAGGTCGTTTAACGAGAACTCTCCGGTCGGTGGATTAAATAGAATGACGTGTTGCTCGAGCGTACTTCCTCGAGCACATGTTACTCCAATTTCAAACGTATCGAACGTGACTTTGATTGAATATTTAAATCGATTTATTCGTTGGGAACGTTGCTCGCGTGTTTGCGTGCGTGCACGGCCTCGAGAAGTAGTAATCGCGAACGAAAAGCGTAAACAAGTCTTTTCAAAACTCGTGCAATACATGAGAAGCGTTTCGGTACATTCGCGTGCGTCGGCATAAAATGACAGCTGTCAAAATTCTGCGAAGAGACGACGGTGAAAGTTACGAAACGCCAAAGCGTCGAAGAATGATTCGCGCGACTAATTTTTAATTAAAAATTTAATCGCGAGATGCCGTTGCAAATTACAACGAATCTCTTCCTTACGACGCGTAAACGCGATGAAGTATCGGCGTATAAAATATCGTCGCGGTGTAATTGAACGACGATGCATAAAAGAATAGGCGTATAAAACGCAACGACGAGAAGGAAGAAAAGCGCGGGGCCCCGGAGCGCCGCGGTACGGGGATGCCTATCGGCGGTGCACCGCGCAGGCGCCGCGAAGCCGCGGCACACCACGCCGCGGCGAACTCACTCGCGCACCGCATCGCACGCCACACACAACACATCAACTAATAACGTGCAAGCTTCGATTTGCAGTTACCGCGAGGGCCACGCGGTCGCCATAGGAAAGCAACAGCTCGTATCGTCGCGGCAGTCGTGTTGTGCGCGCGAAAGAAAGTGTGTCGTTGAAATAGGAGGACTGTTTTCGCGAACGTGGAGAGAAGCGATATTGCCGAGCGACCAAAACAAACTCGCGAGTTGTCGCGCCGGTGTCCCGTGACCAGTCTCAACGAATACAGAGGACAGAGTGCGTTGTCAAAAGGAAAATGGCGAAGCTGGCGTTTTGACGTTTCGCGATTCGATTGGTCCGGTCGCATGGAAAGTCGTGTTATGCCAGCCTCGAGCTTGTTTACACGCGAGATCGTTGGTAGGACTATTGGAACGAGATCGTGGTTGACGAGCGTGTAAGTAAAACGACGAGATTGAAAGGGAGAGACAGACGGACAGAGCGGGAGAAAAAAGAGCGGGAAAATAGAAGACAGTGTAGTAATCGCGGCGGACTGTCGTGAGGAGAAATGACCGTGCAAGAGTTCAAGCCTCGTGGCAGTGCTGCCGAGGAACAACAGCCGTCCGGTGATATTCTGTCACCGTCTAGCGAGCCACTGGACAACGACAAGGAACAGTCGGCCCAGGTCTGTTATCGCGGTGCACCCCAGGATAGCGAGAATCTGTTGGGACGTGTTTTAGCCGGTAAGCAGCCTCGACTCGTGTATACGTTTCCGTTCATTTCCACAAGTCCCATCGAATCGACGTCGACGCTCTCGTCGACGACGATGGCGACGAACGAAAGGGAGAGTACGTGATATCTTCCCGCTCGTTCGTCACCGTTCGATTCTGATCCGATCGATCACAGAGGGTTGCGTGAACGCATGTGTGCGTGTATGTGCATCTGCGTGTGCGTATACGCGTTGCGTAGATCGGTCCGTCTAGCATATAACAGGCTCGTAAAAACATTCTTAACCTAGCGTAGATCGCGATTCAGGTAGGAAGGAATAGAGAAAGAGGCGGTTTCACTTTCCAGCGGGGTTGGAATGTAGGTCGCGGGGCCCGGGACGAGGCTAGTTCGTTGCCCTCGGTCGGCGGCCTTCCACTCGGCGCTCCGGCAATTTTTCTCCCTCTCCGTCTCTCGGCTTCGCCCTCTCTGTCGCACCTGCGCCTCGGTCTTCCCTCTCTTCTTTTTCCTCGTGGTTCTAGCCTAGATAGCGAGCCTCCTCTCTAGTGGGGCTCCCACCCTGGTACAGTGTTCGCTGCCCTCCCTCCATACGCGCTCGCTCGCCTCTGCCTCTCTCTCTCTCTCTCTCTCTCTCTCTCTCTCTCTCTCTCTCTCCCGTGTTCGAGCGCTTCCACGTATCCTCTCCTTCTCGCGGCGTTCGTCTCTCTCCGTTTGGCCTGAACTCGTCGTGAACTCGCCGCGTTGTACGGCGCGGAGAGGAGAGGCAG